TTGTTTGGTGGGCCCGGGCTGGGGATTTGAACCCGCCACCTTAGGTGTATGTGGCTGGCGCCTTAGCCACTTGAGCCACAGGCGCCAAGCCTGTTTATATCTTTTAGATTAGTTAATCCCATTACTCCTTCCTTCCCTACCAAGTATGTGTATACATCCACATACCACGTGTGTGTGTAGACACATGTACATGTATGTATGTTGTATAAGGAAATAGTTGTGCACTATGCTAAGTTTTTTATATGTTTCATTTAGTCATATGGCAAATGAAGTATTATTATCATCATTTAACAGGTAAGGAAAGTGATAGATTTAATATGTGACAGAGCTGGGATTTGAATTTGGGTCTGTCTAATTCATAAGCACTAGGGGATTCTGTTGATCAACATTTAATTCACAGAAGTAATGTTTGTGTAACAGCTAGAAATGGGTTGCCATTTTTATGATTATCCTATTGTTTATTTGTTTTTACAGGAATTTTCAAGATGAATTATACAGAGTCCAGCCCATTTGCAGAATCAACTGCCATAGGTTTTACACCTGAGTTAGAAAGTGTCACACCTGTGCCTTCCAATGAGACCACTTGTGAAAACTGGAGAGAGATACATCATCTCGTTTTTCATGTAGCAAATGTTTGTTTTGCAATAGGGTTGGTTATTCCGACCAGTCTTCACCTTCACATGATCTTTCTTAGGGGGATGTTCACGATAGGTAAGCTATCTGACAGAGATTTTATGTAACATTTCTAAAACTGACCTCAGGTGGGCTTTGTGTTGGGGGCTTAGAGTGTTCCTTGTCAGGCCTATAACATACCCCCCAAACACAGGTCTTCATTACTTAATTAGTAGTATATCAAGTAACGCAGAACATATGATCTTAACATGCTCTGTCTCTCACTCCATATGATTTCATATGTTGTTTAGATTTTTCAGATAACCAGAAAATTTATTCACATGTGAGAGTGTGGACTTTGGGGCCACATCGTATGATTCAAATCCTGGCTTCACTATTTGCTAACTGTGTAATTTGGTCAAGGGATTTAACCTTTCTGCTACCTCCATTTTCTCATGTGTCAAACAAGAGTAAAAATAATACCACTTCCTAGGGTTGCTGTGTGAGAATTAAATAAGAGTGTATGGTGTGTGTGTGTGTTATCAAATGTACTTGATTTAGAATAATGCCTGGCACATAGGAAATATTTAGTTTTAACTATTATTATTTGAAAAGACATTTACTGTGGCCAGTAAGGCAATTTATCCAGACACATAGTTTAAATATGTCTGTACAGTGGTATATATTTGGCTCCAGTAACCCTGGTGTAGAACTATGGATTTTTCTCCATTGAGAAAATATTTTCTTTGTCTTTTTTTCTTTCGTTTCTTTTCATTTTTTGTTTTTTTCTTTCTAAGAAAATATTTGTGATGCTTTATAAATTTTCTGCCACAAAGCATGTGTTGGGTTTTTTTTTTTAATCACACAAAAACCAAAATGAAACGTAGGGTGATAGTTGGCTTAGGCATTTCTAAAATGTGTTTGATTTACAGTAGCAGTCCCTTCTTATCTGTGGTTTTACTTTCTGAAGTCAACCATGGTCCAAACATGTAAATGGAAAATTGCAAAAATAAGTAATTTGTAAATTTTAAATCCCAAGCTATTCTGAAGAGCATGATAAAGTCTTACCCTGTGTTGCTCTGTGCTGCCTGGGACGTGAATCATCTTTCTCCAGTGTGTCCATACAGTAGTATCTGTATATCCATGAAGCATTTCCATGAAACCATTCCCCAGTGCCAGAAAGGTTAGAGACCACGGCACATGAAGCAAGTGAGGCCTAGACAGGTAAAATGACCCATTTAAAATCAAGATGGAGGGAAAAAAATGGCCAAACCAGGACTGTAATTTCCATTAATCACTTAGTAGCCATCTTGGTTATTAGCTTTTCAAAACTGTGTGTGTGTGTACTAGGGTCAGGCATTACCCACGGTGCAGGCATCTGCTGGGAGAGGAGAGGGAGGACTGCTGAGTATACAGAGGGTGACGGACTGACTCAGCTACCTGCTAGACTAGAGCTGTTCTGGGTCTAACAGGTTCACTTTGTCATTCAACAGGATGCACCCTCTACATTGTCTGGGCCACTCTCTACCGATGTGCCTTGGATATAATGATCTGGAACTCTGTGTTCTTGGGTGTCAACATGTTGCATCTTTCATATCTTTTATACAAGAAAAGACCGGTAATTACTAAAATTAATTAATAAGGGATTGATTTTAAAGCCAAAACCTTTTCAAGGTACTTTGTTCTGACTTGGAATGAACATCTAACATTTTTGGTTTCTTTAATGTCAACTCTCTACAGATTAGACTTTCTGTGTATTTATGTGCTTGAAAGTGAAGCACTGGAGCTCTATGAAATTTGTTCTGTAAAGGAGCTTTTATTTTTATTTATTTCATTTATTTTATTTCAGATTAAGGTGAGGGTGCAAGCAGCTAGGTTACAATGTTTGCATTTGTTAGGTAGAGTCCCTCTTGTAGTTGTGTCCCAAACCCAAGAGGTGTGCTATAGACCCTTACATTGTACCCTCAAGTGGGAACACACCAATCCCCCTCCCTCTACAAATGAATTTTTAAAACTTTTTTAATTATTAAGGTTTGAGGAATGTGAATAATATAGTATTTTCTTTTTTAAG